GGTCCATGTACACACCAAGGGCTCCAGGCGGGAGAGCTCCCTTCTCCTCTTAGCCCAGACACCCAGAGTGTGAGCACAGAGCCTTGGGCACACACAAGAACAGCTCAAATAATGAAAAGATTACAAACTGTCAACTAAATTCAAGGTGGATTAAATCACTAATCTATGCAATCTGGTGTCATGTTTCAGGTGATTTAAACACTCAGGGGTCACTCCAGGGGAACTGAAATAACTGAGCTGCAAGAAATAACAACACAAATGACAGAAATACCTTTTTCTTTGGGGGTTCTATAATGGCTCCTCTGACCATAAGGGTCCGCAGAAAGAAAGAGAGAGAGCCCACACATACTGACCCCTTTTATTGATGAGAAGCCATTCAAATGGGCCAAGAGGTCAGTTTTCAGGGGGCTGAGTCTAACTTCATGATGTCTGCTACCAGGAGGTTGACTGACATTTAGGTAGGCCACACCCAAGGGCAGGGTAACAGAAGGGGACTCTCAAAGGGCATTCCCATGGAACATTCTATCCCAAATAGGGGAAGGGGTAATATCACAAAGGAACAGTTGAGCAAAGCTCCACCCATGGGGCTGCAGGAAGGCACGAGCATGCACAGAGACACATTTCTGTTTTCTTAACCCAAAAAATTGGGGCTAATATCTTTGGTTACCTAAGCATCCACATCACAGGGTGACCGACAGTGCCACACCAATCAAACAGGGAGGCAAATGTTGGTCACACGCTATGTCGGCCTCCCACAATCCATGTCCAGATACTGCTTGTGCCTAGTCACTTTCCTTGAGTGCAAAATAACTGTACCACCCATCATTGGTTGTGTGATTTTCAGAGTTGATTTTTAAAAACTCGGGCAGCACCTAGGCCTGGAAGATGACTGTAAGTAACTCACAGGAGCAAGGGTGTCAGACTGAAGGAGAAAACCATCTGGAAGTCACATTTATGGTCACTTTTACCCCTTGATTGTTAATTAGAAAATCTGCAGAGCTTCCTTCCCTTTGGCCAAAGGAAGTTGGCCATCTGTGTCCTGTTGTGTCTATAGTCACATGAACACATGTTCAGATGTGCAGTCTGGAAGGTGGCAAAAAGCTCCCCTATCCCATTAGAGGACAAGAACCCATGTTTTCCACCTGATTCACACAGCCCAGATTATGGGGTTGGTTTGCTAAGGGCCTTATAGCTGGAGATGCCAGGGAGCTTCCATGCCCTATACAACCAGCTGTTTGCTGGGTGACAGGGGATGAAGGGTGACCCTGAAATCAGGTATGAGACCTGGTCAGCCGATAACACTTAGTGGGCCTCACCAATGCCTCTCTGTCATGAAATGGGAAGGGTGTCCAAATCTCGGCTTATGCCTCCCAGAAGTAAAGGAGTACTTCACTGGAGGGTAAATGCATGAATGGGGAGCTTCCTAAGATGGCTCTAGTCCAGGTCTCACCATTTCTGCCAGGAATCTGGACAATAGTTGGCTTTGTGAAACCTGATGATCTAGTAACAGAGCAGCTGCAGCCCAGGGGCACAGGAAGCCAGCCACAGTGATACCACAGAGGAACCAGAGGCAGTGCAATGGGAAGATGGATCAGGCAAGGTCAGTGAGAAAGAGATCAAATAATTCACACCACCTTAAAAGAGGGCAGGTCTGAGATACTCACACTGCAAATGAGGCCTTGAAAATTGTTCTGAGAGCCACCAGTGCAAAAAGAAAGGGAAAAAGGTAGACTCCCTTTAGCTAGCTGTGACACCCTCTCCCAGGTCATCAGTATTGCCAGAAAGCAGAGAACTCACAGGAAGCCAAAGGAGCGCCATGGAGAGAAAGCACCTGCACAAGCTTTGGCTCCATGCAGAGCAGAGCTGAGGCACAGGCAGGTAGGCAAGGAGGTCAGGCATAGAGGCAGGGATTCTCCCATGAGTCCTGGGAATGGGAGTACAGGAAGCTCCCTCAGGAGTGAATCAATCATTTTTCAAAACAATTTTTTTGCATAAGTAGCTTATTAACGTGGTTCAAGATTCAAATGCTGTGTAAGCGCCCTCAGCACTGTCCCTCAGCCACCCAGTCTGCTTATCTCTCTAGCACGTTCAATGCACATATGAACATAAATCCTTATGATCACGTTGGTGAGTGCACAGGGTGCTAAGTCAGCACCAAACTGAGCACCTTTCTATTTGTCTCTTTATCACGGATCTGGGGGGCCTCTTCCATCTGGGAAATAGCGTTACATCTTTATCCTCAGCAGTACACCATGACCAACTGCAATGGTATCCACTATATTTCACCACTTCCCACCAATGGATATTGAGGTAAATGATATGAAATAAGCAAAAAATGTACTACATGGTACCCTGATAAAATTCAATATCCTAAAAATTGACAGAAAATGCTTCCTGTTGGTAAAAATTGATTCAAGGATTCAGGGAAGACAGAGGCAATAGCTATATCCTCTGAGTGCATCTGGGGTCTCTGTCAACTGTTTTGTAACTTATGCCAGCAAAGAGAATGCTGGCCATGGCAGATTCCTTGTGAAATTCCCGAGGTCCTACATTCACCAGCATGCACCGCTATGTTCATTAAGTCTAGGCATTTGGGATCACAGACTTTGGTTTAGTTTGGTGTGTCTGACAGTGCCCCCATCTGAGTTTGAATTAAATATCTAGAGATGGAGGAAGCTGGGATTATCCCTGTTCACAATGAAGCTCCTGACCCTCTGATCCTTTCTGCAAGTGGTGCCAGGCAATCCTGCCAATATTCATGTATCTCAGATTCATAGAGGAGAGCAAATCATAGAGCGAGAATGAGATGAAACCACCATGTAAGGATTCTGACTGTCGAAATGTACAAGGCAGTGTGCCTCTAGTGAGCAAACTCCAAGAGGTAACAGGCACCCTGTTTTCCACACTTGAAATATTCTATAGTTTCTCTGTGGAACTAGTAAGATGACTAATACTTGCTCAATGCCTAGCTGCTGTGGTAATGTCCTTGAGAGGAGGCTCTGTGCTAGAGTCTTATCAGCCTCAACCTTAATCTCAGATACTCAGCTTTTGGGAATAAAGGAACTCTCTTAGACAACACCAAGGTGTCCCTATGGCTAAACCTGCCCACATAACGGTAACTTTGTACAATGAGCAATATGTACTAATGATGTCAATGACCTAATGTAACCTATAAATAAAGCTGGCAGCTCAGATGAGCAGCACTTTTACTTTGCTCCTGCACATTGCTTCTATCTCCTTTTGTTTTTTTTACACCACTGCCCTTTTGCTTCACTGTACTTTCAAACTTCAGGCTCTTCAGGGACAAGTGGCTGTGCCTCCTGATTCTGATGCTGATGTATACAGCAGCAGGGGTTCCTCTTGTGGGAATACCAGCAGGTAGGCAGCAGCAGCAGCTCATGTAATCACCATGCTTCTGCCCCCCATGCTGTGTCTGCACCTTAAGGACACAAAATATCCCAGGGTCACCCATCCAGGGTCCATGGTGGGAATGGTCCAAGGAGTTCCAGCCCTTCAGTGACTGATTATGCAATTTATGATACCAGTTCTCAAGTAACTTCCGACTAATAGACTTCTTAAGTACTGGGTGAGAATTGCCATCCCCATCTCCAGCACACCCTGGGCATAAGACAGTCTTGGGGATACCACGGAGCTAGGACAAATTGGAACTGGCCATCCTGTGTCCCACACACCTGCCTTCCAAGGCTTGCTACCTCCTACCTTATTCCCATCTCCCCTTCCTCCCATGCAGGGTGCCATATAAGATGGTTGCTCATCAAATCTGAATTCCTGAAAAACTACAAGAATATTTTCTGGAAGAGGGTGTCCCATGCAATGTTTGTGTGTTGTACATTTCATATGGAAAGACCACTATTAGGCCAATATGGAGGGATAGGCTTGGAGTTCAAAAGAGATGAACAGGACAACCATATGTCCAGTTGTATTAGGACACTCCAAAGCCATCAGAGCTGTCATGTGACTCCAGCCTCAGCCAGTGGTCTAGATGTGGGCAACCTCATGCCCTTTCCCATCTTCTGGGTGTGTGCCTTGATTCCATTCAGGGATGGCAGTGTGGTGCTGAGGGTGCCTGGTGACTTACTGAGACTGGCAGAGCACCTCTTCAGCTCCTAGCCTCTACTTTTAATTTCCTCATTTTCAAGACATCTTATTCTGTCTTTTGACCTAAGAGGAAGTGATCATCTCAGTAGAAGATAGTCCCTGCTAGTGCTCTATGGAACAGTGCCTAGATGGTGACACATGGCACAGAACACACAGAGAACTCCATGCAGAAATCTGTCCGAAATTTCCTATTTCATTTCTGACCCCCAAAGGGATTTTCCTATAAACATTAGCGTTGCTCTCTTGTGCTGCCTGGACAAATGGCTCAGGCCCAAGGAGAGTGCCAGCTGTCACAGGGCCAGGTGTTCTAAGCAGCTCAGGTCAGATTCAGACTTGAGCCCTAGATGATTATGGGCACTATAGGCAGCTCCATGTGTTTCTCT